ACATGTCATCACTGTAGAAAACAGAGCTGTATAGTTCATTGTTCATTTCCAATAGAAATAAACAGCTAATATATGTCTTCAAAACTCTTTTCATTCAATTACACGATGGCAGAAATAGTCCATCCTCTTACAGTAATGGTTTTTGTTGTATAAGAAAGAGATTGTCCTATTTTTCCAGTCTCAACTGAGAAGACCTCACTCTCTGATTCTTTCTTCAGGGGCATAAAACTCCTTGTGCTGTTACCCAGCTACCCATAATGTCCCTTGAACAATTTTGTTGGACGGAAGTTCATAGTGTCAGACTCCACCATACTTGTAATGCACAAAAATGAGGTAGTACACAAAACTTTTACTGTTCAAGTTTTGATTAAGCCCCAGGCTCCCCAGCATCCTAGCTTAAGAGTGGAACCATTCCCTTTATTTACTTGGTGTTATTTAAACAAGGTAATCAACATAAAATTCCATTAGAATAACCAGAGTACATTGTGCTTTGTAGTAATCTGAGAAGATAATTAGCAAGAGCTGAGAATAAATACAGAATATTTTAAAGTTATGACTGATCATGCTGCCAGACATGTATTATTCTGTTCCCAGTAAAGCTGTACACAATACGAGGGTTATTAGGCAGTCAAACTACTTGTGGGCATATGTGAAAGAGACAGAACTGATTACAGTAAAATTAAAACCTACACAATGTTCTCTTTAGTCTATCTTGGTTTTGCATTGATATCACACTCCTAAGATCAATTTATCAACATTCTGTTGGGGATGGTCACATTAAGTGGGCTTTGTAGAAAAGTTAAATGAATTGTTTCAATTTAAGAAATGGCAGGCCCCATTTTACTTAAGGATCTGACAGTTCTCAGTGGCTTTTCTGTTTAAGTAATATAGATCTCTCACATCATTTGACCTTAAGACAAAACAAGAAACTGTAACAGCTTTTCCCATTTTTCTTAAGTACTATTTATAAAATAGTTTACATCTTTGTTCAGTTTCAAATTATAGACAAACCTCCCTAATACAAAATACTAAAAGTGCAATAGTATAAATTAAGAGTTTGCAACCACATTATACAAACATTACCTTTTATTTGTACAGCTTTGATAACATGAAATGTTTACTCACAACTGTTTATAATGTTGTGAATAATTTATGGTGCTAAGGTTTGTCTGTAACTTGTTTTCCAATCATTGAGCTAAAGTCCACACTACATTTTTCATTTAATAGAACAACTGTCCACATAGCAGCTACAAATATTTAAATAAAAAAGGTTTGTTACTGACAGGTACTTGCACATGAAAAGCATGCTATCTTTCCCAATAAAACTTCACAATTTTGCCTGCATTGAAATAAACCACTTATTTATAGTAAAACAAAACTTGATTTAAAAAAAAAGAAAGGGAAAATAAAAAAGAAAAATCACATAATCAGATGTATTTTGCAGTACAAAAGCTTCATTTAAGGTTGGGGCTAGTATATTGTCTGTTACCCGCATAATCTTAACATTATAAATACTACAGACAAGGATACTGTAATAATACACTGCTTTGGGGTACTAAATCACTTATTTAAGATTAAGATTCCTAAAAACATAGTTCAAGTTTCTAACTAATTTGAACAAAACCAGGAAATAAGTTTGACAGGAATGCATTAGTGAAGCCCCCTTTTCTCAGTTGATAATAAGTTTTGTAAGAAGCAAAGTGGACGTAGTCTAGCCTCTTTCTGTTCCTAATGCAGTTATCCAATGATCTTTTGTTTTTGTTAACTTAAATTAAAAAGGTTTCATAGTTCTCGGTAACAGTCAAACTCACTGTTGAAAGAAGTATCATGCAGATCTTGCAAGACAACTTTTCAGCAGCCACAAAGTTACGTATTTCTGCTATGGGTAAAATTTTAAAGGGAACCTATGCATTTAGGTCAGGAAACTAATGCTTAACTTCAAAAACTGTACATGAACTAGAACAAATGTTGTGTTGAGTAGTGGTCCAACCGATACTGGTAATGTATGCTTTTAGTTTATGCCAATTTCTTTGTTATCCTCAATAAATCTTGTGAATGGACGACTGGCTCCAGTTTCAGAACTTGCTTTGTCCAAACCAACAATGGGAGGGCTGCTGCCAGTGCGAGCTTTGTCCATTCCACTGGTAATGTTACTTAAAGGTGGAATGGCACTTCCACCCAAACTTACTGGGAGCTGGGGAATGCCTCCGTTCTGTATGACAGAAATCTCATTGTTCTTCATAGCAAGTCCATTAGTGATAGCTGCAGCATACTGGTTCCAAAAATTTGGATCAACATTCATTGCCCGAGCTGCCAAATCCTTTTGGAACATTTCAGAAAACTTCAGAGCATCACCACCTAATAGAGCCATGGGGTTTTCCACGGACAGTCGGCGACCACGTCTTGCAGGGGCATTATTCCACATGTGGGTTCCCATGTGAACCTGTATAGAAAATAGAAACAAGAAACAGCTATAAATTAGTAAATTGGAATGAGCTGGTTGGTCTAAATATACTACATGGTAATTTTACATAAGACATCATTTGTTTAGGGGAAAAAAAAAGTCATCTTACAATTCACACTTAATACAACTTTAATTGTTTTTCCAACCAGTATTCTGAGGGGCAAAGTAGATAAATTCATTTAAAAAAAAGAGGTATGTTGCAGGTCATCAACCTATCCATATTTCTTTTCATTCAAAAAAAGTACAATAGTACAACAATATAGGATACGTATTCTTTGATGATAGACAGATTTCAAACACCAGCTGGAAGTTCTCATGTGCATAAAAACAAGACCACCGAAAGAATTACTGTATCTCAAGGAAACTAAGAAATCTTAGCCCCATTTAATAGTTGGGGCCCCATCTAGATGGGGGTAATAGCTCCATCCTTACCCCCATCTAACAGTTATTTCATCTGCCCTGGATTTTTCCTCTTTACTTTTTTTTTTCCCTCTTTTCTCAATTTGTCTGACACCATTCCACTCTTATTCTCTTTCTTTAAGTGTTTTTACTTATTTATATATTTTATATTTTAAGAAATTTAGTAAGGTGTTCATCCTACTGTTCCTAACCTTTTGATCTCCTGATGCTTATTTGGGCTATGAAGACAAAAGAGTGCTCTTGTAATGTGTATCATTTTATGTCACCAGGTACCAGCTTATCAAACCAGCCTGCTGATACATATGCTACAGGCAAAGTGGAAATTGGGCTTTGGACCAAGGAGTCCCAAGGAGCTGTGGGTCACTGCTGATAATTTTTCCATATATTCAAAAGAAGAAAAAAAGGCATCAGCGCTGGATCTTAATGACTGAAAGGAGCTCATTATTTTTTTAATGATTTTCATAAATGGGAAGATCTCTATTTAGCAAAAGGTCTAGATTCATGTCCGCCTACCAACCTCCTCCATGCCACCACATAGGCAATCATATAGAATGCAGGTTAAAATTGCTTAGCGATTATCATGTCATTCTATCCTCCTTGGAATGATTTGTGCTTTATTCCTTTACACATTTTTTTTTTTTTTAAACACAGAGCATCATAGATATAAGCAAAAATATTGCCCACAAGATGTAGGTGTGTGTCATCATGGTTTTTTTTAAATGAGCTGCACGTGCAAGATCAACTCTTGAAACTGATTTTAAAACACATGGGAATGTACACCCACAGACCAGAGGGCAAGAGTGAGCCCTGGTCCTTTAAACATCTGAGAAGCATAAAATAGCATATTTTCAGTATGCTCAAAACACCACAACATATATTTTTAACTTCTCTTCCTCTTGGTGCATGAATAACACCACTAGAGTCTGATAAGTCAAATGGAGTACATTTTAAGACCCCAAATTCCTTACAGTTTTGTTTAGCATTTCAGACTTTTCTTCTTACCTTAAGATTCCCTTTTGTGGTAAAAGCTCTACCACAGATTGTGCAACCAAATGGCTTTTCACCAGTATGGGTGCGTTCATGTATCTGCAGTGCACTTGCTGAAGAGAAGGTCTTTCCACACGATTGACAGTTGTGTTGCTTGGGAGTCCGACGTGGTGGGGGTGCCAGCATAGGAGTGATGCCTGGACTCATCACTGTCTGTGGGGCAGCAGGAACCTGGATTCCAGCTGGAAGCGAGGGAACCTCACCCAGTGAGATCGGCTTGCTGTGACCATTCACTTCCATTTTGATCATGGTAGGCGCAGTACTGGTGACCAGGCTAGGAGTGCTTTGGCTGGGACCTAGAGTAAAGTTGGGTTCAAATAACTGAGAAGGCAGCTCTTTTAATTTGTGTGTCAGTAAGTGCTGTTTTAAATTACCCATAGTGGAACACCCACGATTGCAGACTGTACAAACAAATGGACGTTCTTTAGTATGGCTGCGGTAGTGAATTTCCAATGCACTCTTACAAGCAAAAGGCTTTCCACAGATATTACAAACAGTACTTTTAAACTTACCACGTTCTCTGTTCAGGAACAGCAGGCTAAAAGGAGCCTCCTCTTTGATGACCGGTCTTCCTGGGTTGGTGGATGTCAGATCTAACGCACCTCCATTTTCAGTGGCAGGTGGTGGACTGTCAGGTTTTTCTGTCTTTAATTGTATTTCTTGTGGTTCTTCCTGGTTGCTAAGACCTGGGGACTTTGACCTAAAACTTTCACTATTGCTATTTACAGGAGACAAAGCTTGCATGGAGGAAGAGGATTCTGACATCGCTGGGCTGCCTGCACTCTGGCTTTCAAGATCACCAACAGCTGATGAGGAATCATTGCTCAAATGGTCACTTTCCCCTGACCCATTTTCAATGGATTTTAAACTGGTCAGCTGCTGGCAGTTCATGACAGAATCAATCATTTTCATCTGATTCTCTAAAGCAGCAATACTAGATATTACAGAAGGTGGTGAAGAAGGACACGAGCCAGAGTAAGATATAAGTGGTTTGGATGAGTCGCTTGCTGTGTCCTTCAACTCTGGGTCCTCTTCCATAGAATTTTCATCAATGTCATCATCATAATTG